GGTTCTTTTAGAAATTCTTCTCACCTGCAACATAACATGCTTCCTTGTGGGCTGGTGTTCACAGCCACAGCAGATCTGTGGCTCACAGGAAGACATGAGCGGTTGGATGCTGTGTAACTTGTTCGTGGTCTGAACGGCTCCCACCCATCCCCAGATCCCCTCTGTACTAATTCATCTCCATCTCGGTTTGTGTAATGATGTGGACAGGGCCGCCTGTGAGGGGTTTCCTTTTCCTCCTTAGTGCTTGGGTTGTGGATGCTCCAGGCAGCAAGGAGGCAGGAAGACATTTGAGAGCCTCAGCTGGACGCTCCTGGAGCTGTGTCCCTCAGTTGGGCCCTCCCCTGCCCCCGGGCAGCTGTCGTTGACCCGAAGGGACTCTGGCCGCCCTCCCACATCATTTGATGCTGCCCTGTCCAAGGACGTTTCTCCTCAACAAAAGCCTGTTTCTCATCTCTTTTTCCTCTTTCATTTTCTCCTGGTGCTTCTCATGCTCCAGCTGCCCTTGGCCATCCCGGTTCTTCCAGCCCTTTCCCAGACCCCTTTATGAACTGGATGTCCCATGCATGCTCCTAAATTGTTTCCGCCCACTGCTTCTACTGTTCATTAACCCCCGAGGACACACTCTGTGCCCTCTTACAGCTTGTCAGCTCCTTGAGCCCTCCCTGCAGCTCTTCACTGTCCCCTGTCCCCACCTCACCCCCGCCCCAATCCCAAAGTAGGAAGTTTATGCTTAATCTGAGGACTTTAGGAAACCTTCCTCTTTTTTTTCAAAGGAGAGATCTTATTGTGAGGATTTCAGGATCTGCTAAACTAGGATGGGGGACGCTGGAAGCCGTCAGCATCTTCGTGCCCCTTGTATGGTTCACCTGCCTGGCTTTGGTAGCATAAGACCAGCTCTCACCTGGCCTAAACTGACCACCCCCCCAGCTCACAAATGACCTACCCTCCAGTGGACAACACTCTGGTCTCAGCTTCACAGTGGATTTTGCTCCATAAAAAAAGTATACATTTAAATTCTCTCCTGGCATCTTTTTAAAGAATTCCATTTGTTATGCCTTTGGAAAATACAGAACTAACAGCTGAGAATTGCAGGAAATGACCATATGGGCCATATACCATTAATAAAAATGGAATGGAAAAGGCTACACAGGAAAGTAATACTTTCAATCATGGAGCTTTTTTCTGTCATCTTTGTGAGGCTCAGTAAAATGCTCCACAACTTCCAGAAATTCCCATTTAGTTGTAACAGTATTAGGACATGAGTAATCTTTGTGTCGTCAGTGTTTCTGAGTTCCTGTTTGAATAATCTCCCCCCGCTGCCCATGCCGGTAACCTTAAGCAAATAATTGAATAACCCACATGGATGTTGGCAGCTTCTGCCACTTCGTGGAAAAGCCAATATATTTTGCACTGTAATATGAGTGTGAATAAGTTTGGTGGCAATTTTATTTTGTTTATTCTTTAATTCATTGGGATTTTATTTGTTGGTCTGTTTATTTTTGCTTTAAATTTCAAAATAATACTTGATGTTACTGCTTTGGATGCTTTAATAGGAACTATGGCCCGAGAAGTAGGCTTTTATTTCATGGAATCCAGACCCAAGCCTGACAGGTCATGGACACCAATACCCTGGACTCCAGGAGTTGTGATTATGTTGAATTTTGGTCTTAAAATCCTCCGGCAAAGAAATATCCAAACTCCCATAATCTCCTCTAACCAAATTAAACAGGACTTGCAGTGAGACCATGTTCCAAGAGTTCACTGTGACTGCATGCAGCCCAAGAGTCACACCTCAATCTGTGTCAGGTGGAAATGCAAGCAGCTGCGCCTGTCTCAGGGGTCGGCCATGCGGAGCAGCCAGGCAGCAGACAGGTCCCCGGCCAGGCTGCCCCACGTGTGCGGCGGTGGGTCCTCCAGGCTCCTGAGTGTTTCACAGAAGCTTCAAGGTCAGCGAGCCGCCTGCTTGATGGACATAGGAGGAGGTGGAGGTTTTAGAATGTGGGATGAAGCGCCAGAGATTAATTAAGTGTGTAATTAAGTTTACAGAGCAGTTGGGCAGGAGGAATGTGATATACATAAAAATATTAGTGTGTCTGAGCACAGGGATTAAAGGCTGAGTGATAGATTGGGAAGGATCAGAAACTTTGAGGATGTCAACATGTGAAGCCCCAAGGGTTCTGAAGTGCCAAGCTTCTCTCTGCCCCGCCTTGCCAGTTCCTTTTTGGCCGTGTTTTCTCCCCCATACATCTGGGTGACTTTCTCTCGCCCACTTCCTCCCGTAAATGCTAACAAGAAAGGGCCTGGCTGGGCGGTTCCAACAGATTAGCCCAGTTCCATCTACAGGAGGAGACAGCAAAGAGAATCTGATTCCCAGGTGCTTTCTGAGGTGGTCAAACACCATGCTCCTACCTGCAGTATCTTCTGAACATTTTTTTCTTGAAAAACAGGAGGAAATAGAGCATTTTGGGCAAAGAGCAAACTTTATTAAGGTTTATTTGTAAAGGGTCAAAGAAGCCCTTTTGCTAACGTTCTTAGCAGACCGGATCCATAGATTTCAGATTTCTCCCAGCTTTTGATAATCTCTAAGCCTTCTGTCGATGTGGTGAATTATTTGGGCAAACCTTCCACCCTGGCCCAGCCTCCTACCGTGCTCCCACATAACTCCAGGTCTCTTCTCTAAAAGCCTGTTCCTGGATGCCTGGAATACGCAGGCCTGATTTCATACATTCATAAATGCATTATAGTGAGAATGGGAATTCTCACCCAAAACAAAAATTATGCATTTCAAATCAAATGTAATTGGCTTTTGGATTATCCACTAGTGGGATCCTTCTCTCCATGATCTCTCGAATAGGAGCCAGTACCTACAGTTAACTGGGGCAGTGAGCAGCAACAGCAATGGTTCTTTTTTAAGTTAATTGAATTAACAGTGATGTCAACACCACTATGAGCAAAGCCCCCCTGCTCCATTACATCCAATTTAACAGCAACTTTCCAAAAAGCCTTATATTCATGTGTTGTCTTATATTTCGTGCTCTCTGAGGGCCGCTGGCATCAGATGCTTAGAGACTCTCTGTTCGATATTTTAAGTTGGACACCCCGCGGTTATTTTTGTAGCAATATTGGTGATTGAGAAGAGAGGAAAATATAATGATTTTGGTTATCACACAAGTGAGTCTCGACCACCTTTTGAGCAACACAGTAAGCCCTCACTAATTCTATCCTAACCACAGAGAACCCTGTTGCAAATCACCAGACAGCACACATTTACAAGTAAGATAATCATGATTTTTACCAGCTCTGCTCTATCAGCACATGTACTATCTCCAATTTATTTGGATAGGGTCATTTAATTCTGATTATGCCAACAGTTCATAGCACGCTAGCAAACTGACTGTAGTATATTCTGTAAAAATTAATGAAGACCCTGGAATTAGAGGCTAGCTGCAGATCTCTAGTATTGAATCCTTACTGATAAACAGAATAGGGTTGCCAGGTGTGTGTGCAAATTGCTTCGTTCAGACGAGAGGTTAGTAAAATTAGAATCAGCTGTGTTCTGATTTATCATTCATCCACTCTTTTTAGAAGACATTAAGTTCATCAGTCAAAATTTGATAAGCGGCATACTTAAGGAGCGGAGCTTCCTCGTTGCCTGTTTGTGACAGCTAGGTTTACGTGGAAGCAGAGAAAACATGCAGTTTTCATAAAGTAGACTCCAAGTTCGAATACCTTCTGATTGACAAGTGGTCACTATTTTAAATAGCCTGTGTGTATTTGCCCATGTTAGGATAAGGCATGTTTCTTGGCATTCTCTTCACCTTCATTGTAGGTATTCATTAAACAGGTTTGGAATTGAATTGTATGTTTTAATTAAATTTAGTCTTATTTTGTATCTTGATTACACTCATCAAACATTTAGTCTGTGGAGTCCCAATCATGACACCTTCTGTGAGATGGAACTGCCTTGAAATCCAACTTTTAGGCTAGTAGCAAGTGATCTCCCTTGTATTAGGTTCCAAAAAGAACCACCTTTTGCAGATTCTCTTCTGTAAAGAGCAGAGTAATAGTGGGTTAGTTATTTTACTGTAAAACGTTGTTATTTCACTGTAAAGGTCATTATCACGAAACTTCAGATGAAAAAAAGGCATGTTGTCTTCAGTAGAGCCATCTCTTTCTGTGTTCCTAAAATATCTGCACTTCTTAGGCCAAACAGACTCAAAAAGAGGTGTTTATTTGGGGGAGGAGACCTTGGAAAAGATCAAGAAGAGAACTGAAGAGACTCACTAAGGTCTGGGTTGTGACCTTGCTGAGTCCTTGGTGTTAAGGAAGCATCATATTCTGTCTAGCCCTGTTTTGAACCTTCGTTTCATCTGCAGCCTGGATTCCATCTGCAGTGGATTCAGGCAGGTGTCTGGATCGGGGAGTGGAAGAGGGGCCGGCAGACAGACCTTCTTGACGGACCTCTGGACTGTCCTTAGGGACATGGCCCCTCTCACTTTTTATATTTTTTTAACCGGAGTGAAATATTTCACTAGGATCCATCAAGGAATGGCAGTGAAGTGGCCTTTGGATGTTTTCAGAGTGCCGAGGACTCTTCCCTAGCAAGTGAAACGCCATCTGTTCTGCTCCAGGAACCCATGAGCTATTTTAGATGTTACTTGTTCATAGAGATGAAGTTCAAGATGTTTTTTCATGTTGCTTCTTAATTTTTCCCCCCTACGGTTTCCTTGTCTTTCTTTCTCTGGTTCCTGCTCCTGCTATCAGAATGTGCACGTTCAGGCCCCATTAACCAGGAAGGAGTGAAAGATTCCCTGTGGCCGTGGGTGATCCGAAACCTCCAGGGGCCCAGGAATGGCAACTCTTAAATGAACTCAGGCTTCAAAGGCAGAGGGTAGCTGTCTGATGATGGTCTCTTGCCGATTTATGGACGATTGATGCTCGACTCATAAAATGAAATATCCGCCATGCTGATTGTTTATGCTTCCTCTGTTTAATTATAGTTTGAAAATGAGATCATCACCAAACTGGATCATGAAGTGGAAGGCGGCCGAGGAGACGAACAGTACAAAGTGTTATTTGATAAAATGTAAGTGTTGATGAGCAGGGGGATTTATGTCAGAAGAGAGATGGAGAGACTGTAATTAGACTACAATGAACTTTGTAGCCCAGAAATAATTAAAATGTGTTAATAATGGAAAATATTTAAAATTGCACCTCCGTCGAGTTCTTTTTTCTGAGTGTGATTAACAAGGTGTGTGTAATTATTTTTCAGCCTCTTGGAGCACTGCAGGAAGCATAAATACCTCGCCAAAACAGGAGAAACTTTTGTAAAACTTGTTGTGCGCCTGATGGAGAGACTTCTGGATTACAGAACCATCATGCATGATGAGAACAAAGAAAATCGCATGAGCTGCACCGTCAACGTGCTGGTGAGTGAAAAGTTAATTAAAATGTCAGTCTTTACAGCATGCCAGAAACTCAACCAGCAAGTTCAAAAGCCCTTATGACAGCCGGCCATGGTTTTCTATGGCACAATGCAGCTTCCTTTTCTTGTTTCTTAATCTGTTTCAGGGAAGGAATAACAAAAAATTGTTTGCAGATCCAGTGTAAAGTAGTCTGTAAAATCATCTCCCATATGGATGTTTTCACATACTTCTTTCTCTTGTTAAGAATAACGAGCCATCGTCTTTTGTGACCGGGTACCTGTCATTGATTCCAGGCCTTAAGGCTTCATCATTAGGAGACTGTAAACATGTCCTATAGTGAGTGGTTTGAGTGATGGCCCCTTAAAGAATGTCCACATTTTCCTCCTCAGAACCGTGAATGTGATCTTACATAGAAAAAGATTCCTACAGATCTAATTAAGCTAAGAATCTTGAGGTGAGATCCCCTGGGGTTACAGGGTGGTGGTGGTGGTGGGGACTAAATCCAGTGACAAATGTCCTCGTAAGAGACTGAAGGCAGAAATAGGTGAAGGCCACGTGAAGACGGAGGCAGAGACCGGAGTGACGCCGCCACAAGCCAAGGAATGCTTGCACCCACCAGCAGCTGGAAGAGGCCAGGAAGCCTCCTCCCCTAAAGCCTCCAGATGGCACACAGCCCTGCTGGCACCTTGGCTTTGGACTTCTGGCCTTCAGAACTGTGAGAGGATGCATAGGTATTGTTTTAAGCTGCCAAGTTTGCGGTGATTTGTTACAGCAGCCCCAGGAAAGCAACGCAGGGCAGCGTGGATTGCAGGTGGCATGGGTGAATGCGGCTACTGCCATCCCGTGGTCCTTTTGCATTCCTGCTGTTGTGTCATGTGGCGGGTTCTGTGGACACCCCCTTCCTGATGCAGTTGTGGCCTCAGTGAGGCACATCCAGGAATTGCATTAGGGCTGAAGAGCCTTTAGGGAGCTTTGTGACAAGCTCAACTCCAGGGAGTGCTCGGTAGACCATGAGGCTCTCGGCAGCCACGCAACTCCCATTCCTGGCTTCAGAGGGCTCTGTCGTCGTCCCCCCCACCCCCACTGCTCCCATAAGGAGCCAGGAAGGCTGACTCCTGGCTGTGGTGGGCTTCCCCCAACTCCCCTTGCCCATCCCAAGGCAGGATGCAGGAAACACCACTCCCGCTTCACTCTGCTCGCCTCGCTTCTCTTCCCAGCACTGGCATCTGGATTTCAGTGTCACTGCCTGGTCCCTGGACAGCATGTGAGTTCTGAGCCCTCACTTCTGTACCTGTCATTCAGACTTGCCAGCACTTTGAACTCAGCGAAATGGACTTTTGTGCCAGGGAGAAAATGACATATCATTCATTCTTCAGAAATACTTGGATTAAAAAGATAAACAATAGGAATATTTTCACTTTCTGTTCACTTCAGCATCTACACTGCATCTGTGCTTTGCCATGAGGATCTTCACAGCTAAAAGCTCATGAGCAGTCTTAGCCCCTTCATTCTGTGGCTGAGCAACCTGTTTAGGCTAAGGATAAGCATTTTCTATAGCAAGTTTTCTTTTCTGTAAAAATCTAAATATGGGGGACTTCTGGTTTCTGCTTCAGCATGTAAGGAGCTTGGAAATTGTCACTCCTATTCTCATGACAAGAAAAAAGCTGAACAAATTGAAAAATCAACAAGTCTTCTGAGATCCATTTTCGTAGAGCCACAGAGCAAACTACTGCCCTCAAAACTGGACAGACAGGAGGATGGATACGGAGAATCACAGCTTAAGAGAGCAGAAGCCCAGGAATAGAAACCACTGCTGGAGCCAGTACTAGATTTTTCTCACCCCAGTGTATCATGTTCACTTTCAGCGGATAACTACAAAGCATACTAATGACAGAAAGCACCGTCTGAAGAGAAAGAGCAGACATCAGAACCAGACTCAGATGTGGGAGAGGTTTTGGAATTATCAGACTGGGAATTTAAAGCAACTATTGATGGTCAGAGGTAGGGTCTAGGGGTCCCAGTAGTCGTCCTCAACCCGCCAGTCCTCTTACTACGTTCTTGACTCCACCACAGGAAAGAATTCATGGACAGAGTCACAGTAGGCAGTGAGAACAAGTTTAATAAAATAGATAAGAAATACAGGTTCCACGGAGAGAGTGCAGCATAGCTCCAGAGACTGAGCAGGGCCCACGCCGAGTAACACAGAAGCAAGTTCAGTACACCCATCAAGTCTAACACAGAAGCAAGAAAAACATACTTAAAGTCCAGTACAAAGTGCAGGCTGGCTCAAGAGAGTGAGTGGCCACTTGCTGAAAGAAAGTTCAATACAAAGTAAAACATACACACACCTCAGCGAGCAGAGTGTGGTTGTCTCCAGGAGAGTGAGCAGCAGCCCTGCCTCCAGCTGGGATTTGTCTTTTGTAGTTTCTCTTATCTAATGAATATTCAATTAGGGGGGTGGTTCCCAGTTACATGCACCAGAATGTTCTGTGCTGTCTATTGAGCATGCCCAGCCACTGGATTGCATAAACCAGCTCCCTATAGTCTCACTTTCCCCTGATTGGTGCTAAAAATAGGTCTAACTGGCAACAGTAGGTTTCCTCCAGGGGAGAGCCAAAAGCAGGGGACTGAGACCTCAGAGAGTGGCTGGAAACCCAGAGGCATGTCCTGAAACCCCAGCCCAGGGAAACAGCACCTCCTATCACTATGATTAATATGCTGAGGGATCTAATGGAAAAAGTGAACGGTATGCAAGAACAGATGGGTAATATAAACAGAAACTCTAAGAAAGAATCAAAAAGAAATTCTAGTAATCTAAAACACTAACAGAATGAAGAATGCTCTGATGGCCTCATCAAGAGACTGGACACACCGGGGAAAGAATCAGTGAGTTTGTAAAATCTAAATACACTTTCACGTACATACTGAGGGTCTGGTCAGCTGGTCGGCTGACTGTGAGTAGCACATCAGTGAGCTCTGCCCCAGGGAAACTGGCCTTGATCTTGTGCATAGGAGAGCACCTGGCCCTTGCTTCACTGTCTCCTTGCATTCCTGCCTCTGTCCAAAATAACTTACTTTCCTGGTGCCAATGTGGTTCACATGAAACAGAAACCAGTATTTTTCTGTGTGAAAGAAATGGAGATCTTTTCAAAATCACTCCCTACCATGGACCTAATTGTACAGCGCTCCCTCTGAAGAAATTGATATGTGTCCAGAGGAAGAATTATTAAATTTATTAGGTTTCCAACTTTCATGATTGAGACTTCTATTTGTTTTAAGCAAGTTCTCTTCTGCTCACCAAGACATGAAACCTGGTGGAAAAATGGTGGGGCTCTGAATGGCTTCATATCACCTGAATCCAGGTCGAGAAACAAACTCTTGTCAGGACCTCAGCAAACACAGCTTCTGACGTTAACATACGTGCTCTTTCATTCAAAGGTTGGCCCAGTGCCTACCTGCTGTTACTGCGGTCAGCACCAGCTCAGTTTTAACTAAGAAGCGCACCCAGCATTCCTGAGACTACATGACATTATTTATTTCCTTCAAATTGCAACTTCCTGAATCATTGTAGAAGAGTCAAGTATGTTATTCTTATCCATTGCCTGGGGATGATAAAATGGATCCTAACCCATTATAGTTCTTTTATTTAAAAAATTACATCTATGGAGTAAAGAGAAGCAAGAAACCAAAGTTTTACAGATAGATGTCCTGTCACTAAATATTTACAATTTTGAAGTTAGATAGACAGACATATAGATATAGATATATTTTAATCTTCTGATCCATGTTTACCTTTTCTCCTGATACTTTTATTATAGAAACAAAGTTTCATAGAGATGAATGTATATCCATCTCCAAATGAATATAAATATATATTAGAGATGTGTAAAATGTACTTAATTTATCACTAAGCAGAAATCCCCATAAAATCCTACAGTTAAAAAATAAAGTGAAATACAGAACATCGATTTTATCAATGCCCTTTAAATCCATCATCAAATTTCCTTTTGAAGCTGTGCTGTTTTTTTAAAAACAAAACAAAAAAACCCCCGTAGAACATTCTAAGTCATGTGGGCTCATTAATGTACTACTCTTCCCTGCACATAAAAACACACAACACACACACAAATTAAAATGAAAAAATAAAAGACATAAGCAGTTACTGTGCCCAGCCACATAAGTCACCTGCAAGCACGTCTGCATGTATATTGGATCACGGTCCCCACCAGACACGATGCATATTTGTAATTCTGTAACTAGCTCTGTATTGCCACCTCATAATCAAGCGGTCTTTAATTATTGGTGGCTAATGCTGTTGTGTGTCACCATGTAATCATCAACATATCCCATCTCTAAGACTGGTAGAATCATCGTTATTTTACAGATGTCAGTGGCTTTCTTCGTGGCCCCTTTACGGGGCTCATTAATGCAGGGGTAGGACCAGAATTCTAAAACTCTTGGTACTGTTTCGTCCTGAAGGAATGCAAAATTGAAACGTAATAAAAATGTCTAAGTTCTGAAAGATCAATGCCTAGCAGTGGATCAGCGTTGTGGGGACCAGGCCTGCTGCGGTTCCTGTGGGAGGCACGATTCGAGCCCAGCACAGACGACAGCCAGTGCTGGCTGGCGGGACTTGAGAGAGAAGACCATGGGGGCCGAGGACGCTGCCTGCACAGCCAGAAGTGGAGCACTCACAGTGTGAACGTTCACGCAGGACGCACAAAGGCTTTAAATAGAAATTGAGATTTGAGATGAGCGTACTTCGGTTGCAGAGCGGTTTTGAAGTCCTAGGAAGGGAACAGAACTCAGTACAGGCAGAAAATAGAAGACTTTTCCACCTCTCTGAGAGAGGAAGGAAGGTCACATGACATCCCCATTGTGAGATTGTAGAGGAGAATGATCAAAACCTTAGGAAAGGATTGAAAATATGAGTACAAAAGAGATGGTGTGAAATCATAGCCTGTAATACTGGTGAGTTAGGGCTGCAAGTGAAGGGCTCATTCTCTGCCTTCGGTGCAGATTCTCTCTGTGACTTTGCTCTAAATTGTCAGCTGAAAATGTCCTCATTACCAAGCTGTGTCATATGAACTGAATGGAGGACGTGAAAATGTCAGATGCAGCAAAATTTGAAAATCTTGGTGTGTTTTTCTAAATGTGGCCCTGTTTACTTTCTATACTTATTTATCATTTCTTTCCGGAGAGATCAAGCTTGGAAGCAATGGCTTTTTTACTAATGAAATTAAAGAGATTATGTCATCTTACTGGATAATTGTGTGTCTGTTTAATGGTGTTATCGCTAGTTATTTCAGGCCCTGATTCTAGAGTTCTAACATCGTTGTCAGGTGCTAAATTTCACACTGAACCTAGCTATGATGTTTCCATACCTTAGGCCTTGTCCGGTGACTTTCTGGTGTGATAAAGTGTATGATAAAGATTTTAAGGTGTTTCTAGATATTCACATTAATATTCACATTAATAAATATGATCTTGATAGAAATATTTATGCTCAGCCAGAAGATAGGTTACAGTAATATGTAGAAATAGGCCATTGGTTGTAACCTGCTGACTAAACTTTCTCCATCAGTGTTTATACGCAAGGGGTTTTTTAACCATTATCTGTGGTTTAGAAGCTCTGTCTAGAACAGCACTATCCAGTAGAAATTTCTGGGATGATGGAGTGTACTATGTCTGTACTGTTTCCTGCAGAAACACTAGCCCATGTGGATATTGAGCATTCAAAGTGTGGCAAGTGTAACTGAGGAAGTAAACTCTTAACTTCATCTAATGTTAATTAAATTTATTTTACCTGTAAATATAAGTGGCTAGTGGTTATTGTATTGGACACCTCAGGCCTAAAATAGCCTTCTTCTGGCTCTTGCTGAGGCTGGGCCCAGCGTGCTTTAAATCATGTTGATGAGGCTTATTTGCTTATTCACAAATTTGGGCTCTTTATTTATTAATGTATTTATTTATGCATTTATTGAGATTACAATGACTCACGTATCATGTCTTTGGACAATATCTCATTTTTACTCAAGACAAGTGACTTTCAAATGACAGAAGTAGATTTTAGTCATCCCAGTGTTCAAAGTGTAGGAAATGTAATCATAGGAAAAGCAAAAAAACAAAGAACGGTGTAACATGGTTTTGCAATGTATGTGAGTTTGTGGTTCTAATCCAAAGAGCTGGGTACATTTGGCAATGTTTGACATTAGTTGAAGAACCTTGAGTTTTTAATGTGCATGTGATACCTTTTGTGGAACAAGTTTCTGAAAACGGTGTTATTTTTTAATTTTTTAGAATTTCTACAAAGAAATTGAAAGAGAAGAAATGTATATAAGGTATGCGTGCATTTATGCTTGCCTGCTCCCTCTGCATGTTTATCATAATTGCTATTTGTCAAGTCCATGCTAAGAAATGTTTTTTAACCACAGGGGTTTATTTCGTAGGAAATCATGAAGCCTCTAAGGTTGAGTTTGGAAGTGCTCCCAGATGTATTCTCAGCCCTTGCGTGGTTTGCCCATACCAATGCAGAGTTTTGGGGAGGTCACATTTAATCAACTTGGGAGCAAAACTATAAATGATTATTTTAGAAGGCTTTTGTGCCTCTTGACTAACTCATGTGGCCCTTTTGAAAAAAGTTAACACTACAAATTTTAATGTTTCACAGTAAGTCATATGACCAAATAAGAAATCCAGTTATAACTTTACCAGAAATTGGCAAGGTTATAATTTTTCAGTCTACTCTTATTTAAGTGATACCATATTCCCATGTTTTTCTATGTCTTTTTCCCATGAAAGAAGAAATCTGTCCTGCATTGTCTGCTGGATTGTGCTCCCTTGGTTGCCTTTTTATCTAGAATGGTGGACTGTGATTAAGTCTCTCTCTTTCCTGGTCACTTTTTAGGGTCCAGGGTCAAATAATTAGCAAGATTACCACTTCAAAGAATAGGATAAGAATGTAAGCCACATGGCACAGTGTTTAATGATGTGTTTATTACACTGAGTATGGTTGTCTAATTTTTTATTTCTAATTTTTTTTACTTCTCCTTTTAAAAAACTACTATACGCATTTAATAAACTTTGAAAAACAGACTCTTTCATCCAAAATGCAAATTGCTTTATATTAAAAGCAACTTTTATTTCTTTATAGCATAGATTGTTTTGATCACACTCACTGTGATCAATGGAGTTCTTCATTCTTACGGATTTTATATTTTCATGGATTTTTTGGGCATTTGGATTCGGTAAAAATGCAGGAAATCACAATCAAAGGTTGTGTAATCTCATTTCAAATGTTTAAGGAAAAATCTGGAAAAGATGAAAAGGAATGAGAAACTCTTGAAGTAAAATTCCACCTTTATGTGTTGTCTTCATTTTTATCTCAAGAGGAAAAGACTTAAAATTTTAAAAAGAATATAGATATATTATTGTACGTTACTCTTGTTGGCTTTTTGTAGTGCTTTCTGCACCAAAAGTTTTCAAGGCATAGTGAATTATGAACATTATAAAAAGAAAGTATAGATATGATTTACTGATGTATGTAGAATTTAGCTCCACAATCCTCCATACAGATTATTTAGTGACATTTTAAGAGCATACCTCCTTTTTGTTGTCTCAGGTACTTGTACAAGCTCTGTGACCTACACAGAGAGTGTGATAACTACACAGAAGCGGCATACACCTTGCTTCTCCATGCAAAGCTTCTCAAGGTAATAAAAATTACCATGCACTTTTATGATTCTGTTGTTGTAAATTCTAAGATTATTCAAAATTCTCTTCCTAAAACAAATTTTAATAAACCTATAAGTTAATATTTTATGGATATGACTAAATGCAATGACATGAACATATTTAGGAAGTACTTTGGTTATAAGTTTGGCCTTACTGAATGCAGATTTAACAGGATGTCGTAGCATGTTATCACTAAGCATCACAAACTCTCATCATTGGCCTGTGAGCTAGCAGCAAATTAGATTCTACAACCCCTTCTTCCTACCAACAGGACTCAGTAACGGTGGAGAATAACATCCACAAGAAAGAATTTCCCTAATAGTATGGCTAAGAGGTAGGATGAGCCATGCCTGTAATTATCTTAGTGAAGATTGTAGAGACCAGGTCATGACTCGTCTATCAGTTCATGTCGAGACATCCTGTCAGTGTGCTCTGCCTGATTCTTCTGAGTGTTACTCTTGAGCACAGGTCTGGTGTGACAACTTCCAACTCTCAGTGGTTCTTTTATTACACAGATAGTTTTAGACATTGTTGTTTGCAGTGACATATTCATCCTTTCCCTCATGTTCAGTTCCAGCACAGTTAGTCATACAGAATGGGTCCTCAGTAGATCTTTACAATAAATGGGTGGATGGATGTGTGGCTGGATGGAAGGATGGATTGATACATGTGTGAGTGGGTGGATGGATGGATGTGAGTGGATAGATGGATGAGTTGATGGGTGGATGGATGGACAAATGGATGGATGAAAGTTTGAGTAGATGGATGTGTGATAGATGTGTGAGTAGGTGGATGGATGGATACAGGTATGAGTGGTTAGATGGGTCTGTGGATGGATGGACGTGTGAGTGAATAGATGGATGAGAGGATGGGTGGATGGGTAGATGAATGGATGGATGAATGGATGAGGAGATGGATGGATGGATGGATGGATTAATTGATAGATGTGTGAGTGGGTAGATGGATGAATGGGTGGGCGGGTGGCTGGATGGATAGATGGATTGATGGATGTGTGAGTGAGTAGATGGATGAGTGGACGGGGAAAGGATGGACAAATGTGTAAGTAGATGGATAGATGTGTAGATGCATGGGTGGATGGGCAGACGCATGGGTGGATGGGCAGTCGCATGGGTGGATGGGCAGTCCTATGGTTGGATGGGCTGACGCATGGTTGGATGGGCTGACGCATGGGTGCATGGGCCGACGCATGGTTGGATGGGCCGACGCATGGGTGCATGGGCCGACGCATGGGTGCATGGGCAGACGCATGGGTGGATGGGCAGTCGCATGGGTGGATGGGCAGTCGCATGGTTGGAAGGGCCAACGCATGGGTGCATGGGCCGACGCATGGGTGCATGGGCAGACGCATGGGTGGATGGGCAGACCCATGGGTGCATGGGCCGACGCATGGGTGGATGGGCCGACGCATGGGTGGATGGGCCGACGCATGGGTGGATGGGCCGACGCATGGGTGGATGGGCCGACGCATGGGTGGATGGGCCGACGCATGGGTGGATGGGCCGACGCATGGGTGGATGGGCCGACGCATGGGTGGATGGGCCGACGCATGGGTGGATGGGCCGACGCATGGGTGGATGGGCCGACGCATGGGTGGATGGGCCGACGCATGGGTGGATGGGCCGACGCATGGGTGGATGGGCCGACGCATGGGTGGATGGGCCGACGCATGGGTGGATGGGCCGACGCATGGGTGGATGGGCCGACGCATGGGTGGATGGGCCGACGCATGGGTGGATGGGCCGACGCATGGGTGGATGGGCCGACGCATGGGTGGATGGGCCGACGCATGGGTGGATGGGCCGACGCATGGGTGGATGGGCCGACGCATGGGTGGATGGGCCGACGCATGGGTGGATGGGCCGACGCATGGGTGGATGGGCCGACGCATGGGTGGATGGGCCGACGCATGGGTGGATGGGCCGACGCATGGGTGGATGGGCCGACACATGGGTGGATGGGCAGACGCATGGGTGCATGGGCAGACGCATGGGTACATGGGCAGATGCATGGGTACATGGGCAGATAGATGGGGGAATTGCTATACTACCTCTAGTTTTATATTTTAGAACTTCAGCAAGTCATTAAATTATCTTTCTCATGATGTCCTTGTAAAAAGTTGAAAAATTATGACCTGAATAAAAAAAGAACAGTTACAAAAATTAGAATTTAGTTGAATGACCCTACAACAAACTGCTCATTTAAGGAATCATGTTTCTAAATCTAGGCCAACCTCCCAAACACCAAAAATGGAATAAAAGAAAACCAGAGAAAATTACATTAAAACAGACATTAAGGAGTGCCTTTTGGGTAATGGGAGTTAAGGAGGACACTGTGTTATAGAGTAAAACTCTGGTAAGACTCTTTCTGGTTCCTCCTGAAATTTACCAGAGCTCCCACAGCACAAAAATACACAGGCTGTTTTGGAGACATTTGAGTGTGGAAATTTACCTCTGCCTGAAAACAAGAGGGTCCATTACAAATAAAACAGGAGAGCTCAGCTCAGTCAGGAGGCCACATCAATAATCATTCTGAGGATAGCTGCCTCAGGTTCCCTTTGGCCTCTTATCATAAAAAGCTCTCCCACGAAGCATAATTTATGAAGACAGATTTCACCTGGTGCATCTGACACTAGCCATCTCACTGTGAATTCTGATGGCTTTCATTTATTAGAAACCCCAATTTCAGCAACAAGGCATTTTTGCAAATGTGAGATACTTCTTTTACACCAGGAACATTAGAATGGAACTGAAAAATTGCTCACTCACCCTTACTCTCTCTCTCATAGAACATAAACTTTTATATGTGCATGTGCATGTTAAACATATATATGTGTATAAACATATCGTTTATTTAATCACTGGATTTATTGAGTGCAGATGGGTCTGTCACAGACTGAAGGACGGTTTGTTTCACAGCCCAGATCAATAGGCCCAATTGCATTATCTTTTCCACTTGGGTTCTGCATTTTCCAGATAAATGGTGAATGCTACATAATCTCTCTCCATATCTTTTACACCATTACATTTTGCTAGTTTTCCTAAATATGTTTTGCTGTTGCTATAAATGTGAATTCATGCTGTTTAATCAACTCACTAAAGAACATGATTTGTATTATTACGAAAATTCTTCTTCAGTATGACAAATATATCCTTGTTTGTTAACTTAAAATCTTCAAATAGAATCTTCTTTTTTGATTAAGGATATTTTTCGTTGAAAACAAGAGCAATAAAAGCAATTTGCAGCATAGCGATCGAGTTATTTCCTCTCCATGTTTATGTGGAATGCACAGAGGATTTTTGCTTCCCTCCTTGTTTGTTAACTTAAAATCTTCAAATAGAATCTTCTTTTTTGATTAAGGATATTTTTCGTTGAAAACAAGAGCAATAAAAGCAATTTGCAGCCTAGCGATCGAGTTATTTCCTCTCCATGTTTATGTGGAATGCACAGAGGATTTTTGCTTCCCTGGTACATGTTTTCTGTTTTTGATTTTTTTACAGAAGTGATTTTAAAATCCAAGGAAGTTATTCGAACTCCGAACTTTCTTGTTCTTAATTTATTTGATTGTAGTTACATTTTAGAATCATTTAAAGTTTTACTTTTATTCCCCCATTCCCTAACAAAAGTAGACCATGACACCAGCTGTGTTGTGCAAACTCCAAAGTTAACTAGTTTGCCGTATCCAATTGTGGTAGGAACGTGCTAGTCCAAGTTTAAGGGGAGGAATCTTGCACGCCACTTTAAGGTCTCTCACTCCTACATGACATTCCTAGAGATGGGGAACCATTCAGGCCCCTGCTCTGCATCCTGTTTCTTGGAGCTTAGGGTCCAGCCTGAGATGCCCCAGGGCCCCTGGCTTTGGGAAGGTGGGTAGGGGTGTGTTCTGCAAGAGCGAGCCTCTTCTGGAGCCTGCCTATGTTCCCCAGCCCCTGCCCCCACTTCTGCATGCTGGTCCCTTTGGCCTTCTGCTGGTCCCATTGAAGCAGATGTGGCCTGACCAGCCCTGCATTCAGTGGGACATTTGCCAGTCCCCCTTCACTTGGGGACCATCTGTGGTCCAGGCAGCTTGGGAGTTGACTGCTTTCTTTGTAGCACGCTCACTGTCCTGCCTTAAGACAGGGTCTAGCTCCTTCTCCTAGGTCCAGCTCATAAGCAGACCATTCTAATTATGTCCTCCAGTGAGCCTGCCCACACCACCCAGCATCAACTCATGCCTGCCGCCCTTAGATGCCCATGAAATCTTTTCTTCAGTGTCATTATATGTCACGATTGTCTATCCTGGGCAGCTAGGAGTTCCTGGAGCTTAGGTATCTTCGGACTCATCTTTGACCTAGTGCCAAGTACATAATAGGTCCTCACCAAACACGTGCTCAATTTTATTGAACCCTATACTTAATGCCATTGATTTGTTGAGCTCAGGAGTTTGCATGTTGTATCTGTCAAATGGCGTTGCCTCCACTCTGGCACGTCTCCCCAGCCTGCTGAGACCCCCGTGCATCTTCAGTTCATACAAAAATTGCACTAGCCCTTCCAGAGACACTGACCAAGCCCTGACTCTCTGCCAGGCACCGCGCCGAGGGCTGGAGGTCCAAAGACACCTCCCTGTCTTGAAGGAGCCTGATAACCTGTCAAGTCCCTTTTTTTAATGACTTGTAAGCTTGATCCATGTACCTTCTTTGCTGTTGATTAAAACGTTGAGCAATACACGACCAATACCAGAACCCTGGGGTTGCCCCAGTTGAGACAGCCACAAATCACCATTGTTCATAATTCATCTCGGGCTATTAGGAGGCATTGTTCACAAGCTGGCGGGTCTGCGCTCCCCAGAACCTACTGGGCTTTTCTTCTGGAGGAATCCCACCACAGCTCTGTCTCCCTTGTCCATTGCTCCATGACTCTCAGGGCCTCCAGACAGGGGTTCTGCCCTCCTGTTCCCAGGCCTTGGCAGCCAGGTGACACAGCCACACATAACTCCACGCACAGAATGGGGGCCCGTGTGCATTCTGACCCCTTGGGCAGTGGTGTCGTGGTTGTGCCCTCCCCAGGCCCTGCTCACGCTTTGCTTTTGCCACAGTGGTCGGAGGACGTGTGCGCAGCCCACCTCACGCAGCGGGACGGGTACCAGGCTGCGACGCAGGGACAGCTGAAAGAGCAGCTCTACCAAGAAATCATCCACTACTTCGACAAAGGCAAGGTAAAAAAAAACAAACACTCTTTCTTCTGTTTCCCTCTTTTTTTATGTGCACTTACCTACAGCGCTGTAAACACAATTTTTAACATGTGATGTTTACAGAACCAGAAATTTGTTACAAATTGCGTATTGAAATGTATTATGCGTGTTCCTCCAACTTGCACTTAAAAGTAGAAACCTTTTTGAAAAAATCAATAGCCCTTTTACAGATGCTCTGTTAAAAGTAAGGACTAAAAAAGCACAAGTATTTTTATAGCCCTTACCAGGAGAGGCACGTCTGGGACACCAACTATTCTGTGCGCTTACAGCTAATGTATTCCTTTGACATCTTGCATTTTTCTGTTGTCACCAAAAAATTAATCCTGTGGTAGGACAGATACTGCTCCACCGTGGCAGCTTCTACGTTAGCTGGCTTAAACAAAATGATATATTCAGTTGTCTTCTACTAAAAGGAAGCCTGCCGTCATTTTAATCAGCCAGCGTTCTATCTCATCACCGAGGTTCTTCTGATCCAGATATGCAGTAACTATAAAAAAGAGCTGCTTCAGCTTTGGAAGTTTTTAAAATCTGCCACCAAAGTGGCTTCGGAGCTTCTTCTGTGGCTTCATCAGGATTCTTAACTCATTTCAGGACCTGCTTTTTTTTCACTTTGAGAAAAGTGACCTGTAGACTCCATGAGGCTGCCTATGTTAGTTTCCTGGCTTTAAACAACAGAAATTTATCCTCTCATAGTTCTGGAAGCCGGAAGCCTGAAAGTGAGGTGTCAGTGTGGCCACGTACCTCTGAAGGCTCCAGGGAGAATACATTCCATGCCTTTTTCTAGCATCTGTTTGCTGGCGGTCGTCAGGGGTTGTTGGCTTGTAGACACATCACTGCAGTCCCTGCCTCCGGCATCACCTGGCATCCTCGTAGTGTGTGTCTCTATGTCTAAATTTCCCTCTTTGTATAAGGATGCCAGACATTGGATTAGGGCCACCTACTCCAGTATAACATCATCTTAACTTGATTACATCCAAAGACCCTGTATCCAAATAAGGTCACATTCATAGACACCAGAGGTTAGAATTTTGCATATCTTTTTGGCAACACAGTTCTACCCACAGCAGCACCTGTGCCAGGAAGGGATGGTGGCTGCCCCTTTTAGTAGCTGTTGACATAAACCAAGAAAACCTCCAGAAAACAACTCTCAGGAGAGTCCCTGTGGTCACGAGCTTGGGATAGTCTTTACATTTGGAGAAATAGTGTGTCATTTATTTGTTCCCTACTGCCCTGGGCACAGGAAGAAAGTTCAAAGTCTTCAGAATAGCCTGTGAGCTGGCTGAAGGCCACTTGGAGATAAGGATCGGAAGAGCTCTGTGCGTCACACCCTGTTCTGTAGCAGAACAGAATCTGTTTCCTCGTAGAAATGAGAAGCCTTCGTGATGAGGGCCGATTGCTCCAGTGTTACTAGCTCAGCCGGGGGAATCCTGTTTCTCATGAACTGATGAAGACATGGAGCAGATTCAGCCATTCCTTCCCCCTGATGGCTTCGTGGCTGATGGTGTCTAGAGAAGGGTGGTCGGGTGCTACAGAATGGGCAGAGTAGGAGGTGGGGACCCCGGGATGTCCAAGGGCCGGTGGCCATCGGGTCTGAAGGAATGCATGCCTTTGCTGATGACTGTTGCCAGGCTCTTCTGGCAGAGTAGGAGGTGGGGACCCCGGGATGTCCAAGGGCCGGTGTGTGGTGGCCATCGGGTCTGAAGGAATGCATGCCTTTGCTGATGACTGTTGCCAGGCTCTTCTGGTGGCAGCATGTCCTCTGACTGGCACTGGCCCTGCGACCTCTCTGACCTCATCTCCCTCGCTTGCTCCTGTATTCTGGCCACACTGCCCCATGGGTCTGAATGCTGCAGCCCTTCCTGCCTCTGCCCAGCAGTCCTCTGCTGCTCTTGCCTTGGCTCGCAACTTCCCATCTCAGCTTAAGTGCCACCTCCTCTCCAACCCCACAATGTCCTCTTCTTTTCCTTTATTGTACTTACCACAAATTGCAGTCATAGGTTGTGCATGTGCATTCCTTAATGAGTCCCCAATAGGGTGTGAGCTCTGTGCAGAGAGAGGCCGCACAGTCCATAGTTGTGTTTATTCCCATGGTCTATCCAATGCTCAGGACAGTGCCCGGCTGTCAACACGTGCTCATGGGCATTTGCTGAATGAACAGATGAGCAAAGGAATGAATAACTCAGCATTTAACAGCACTTCCTGACGGAGGAAAAATGCTCATGTAGAGCAGGGCAGGTGGCCTTCAGTACATAATAAATTGAAAAATAGTCACTTTTTTAGCAAAGGTAGCCTAATGTCTTTTTCTGTTTAATAATAGTTCATCAAGGGCCGGCCCGGTGGCGCACTTGGTAGAGTGCTGTGCTTGGGAGCGTGGCGGCGCTCCCGCCGAGGGTTCGGATCCCATATAGAGACCGGTCCGCTCACTGGTTGAGCGTGGTGCGGGCGCGACACCTAGGGTTGCGATCCTGTTACCGGTCATGAAAAAGGACAAAAAGGGAAAAAAAAATAATAGTTTATCAAAAAAATCATATGAAGAGGCAAAAAGAATGTGTTTAATTTAGAACTGTAGTTCTCAACTGGGTTGTCATGACTGGGGGAGCAGATGCTACTGGAATCCAGTGAGTCAAGGCCAAAGATGCTGCAAAGCCACCTACAATGCAGAGGACAGTCCCCACTACAAACAATGATACAGCCCAAAATGTCAGTAGTGTCAAGGTTGAGAAACCCTGGCTTAGAAAAAGCTAATTCAAGTGGCAAAATTTTGTAGGTGAAGAAGGAAAACTGGCTGAAAGAATGTCCTCAGATGTCCCTTCATTTTGGTGGAGACAGAGAGATGACTATGGTAAAGTGATCAGCTGGCTGACCTGGCACCAAAATGCGCATAGGAGGATTGTCTTTACATTAGCTGTACTGATGAAACAGACTGAAAAGCCATTTCTGAGTATAACATTTCCACAAGAATGTTCAAAAGGAGCAAAGTCCACTTATCTGTCGAAAACTAAAGTGAGACTGAGTACAGGTGCTGGAATTTGATAAAATGAAATTTGAAGTACCTGGGTGATTAGCTGCAAGTCAAAAAATTTATTTTAACATCAGCAAGCATTAAATTTTCTGGGGAAATCACAGTAGGAAGTAATTCTTTGTCTTGTGTATCAGTCAGGATGAGCTGGAATATGCTGGAGTTTTGACCTCCCAAAATCTCCATGGCCACAGACAACACAGGAGTATTTCTCACACACACGACACGTCTGTCCTCCTCTCTTAGAACCCAGGTGGGCAGCGGTTCTGCTACAAAGGAACGCAGCCAGGGAGTGAACCGTAAGGAGTCATCAGCCCTTATGTCCTCTGCCCAGAAATGGCACATGTGTGTCTGCTCTTGTCACCGGCTAAGGCAAATCACACGGCCACACCGAACCGCAGGGGATGGGGAAGTGCCCAGAAGGGCAGATCAAGTGAGCGGCACCTACGTGTAACCACAGCATTTAACCAGATGAGCAAGTCAGGGTTCTAATCAAGAGTACTCAAGGCACGTGGAAAAGTTAATCTGGAGATTACCTAAGTGTGCGTGTATTCTAAGAAAGATCACGTTCACACTAATCCCCCAAATGGGATGTCTTTCCATAAGTGGCGAGCTGACAATGGATTTGTTTGTGAACCTTGGTGTGGGGCCTTGACCCTGGTCTCTCCAAGGCTGAGTTTCTTTCTTCCGTTAGAGGGGCTGGGATGGGCAGGACAGTGTGGGAGAAGCAGTAGGATAATGCCAGAGATCTCCCCAGATTTAGAATCACTTTCATTTAGCAAATGAGGCTGTGGCACGGGTGTCCCTGCCACGTTTGGATGTATGCAGTCGTTAGAGGAATACATCCTTCATGCCTTTTCTGGAAGCAATGGGATAAGACAGATGGCTGAGGCTGAAGATTTGGAAGCTTGATGGGGGAAGGCCCAGGTCACAAATTTTCATGTTCCATTCCCAGATTGTAATTATCTTGGGGGAGAAATAGTTCATAACAGCTCACAGGTGATGATTGGCTGGTGATACAGCCAGCGAGACTGGAAGGAGGGCCTTGATTACCGTGGGGCCCTCTGAGCAAGTGGGCACCTGCAAAGCACGCTCTCAGGCAATGGGATACTGCACTGTTCAGTATTGGGTCACCACACAAATTCCTGCAAGAACAGGGCTGGTTCTTCCCATTTAGAATCCTGTATGTCTGTTAAAAGTCAGTCTTCAGTCAGAGTGATTACAGCACTTCGCTGAGTAAGTGAGCTCACAAGCATGCAGGGAGGACCTCTGGCCACGACAAGACGTCCTGACTTAACTGGGGCACAAGTGCCACCAGGCTCATGTTCTGAGTGTGGGTCCAGAGCACTCAGACTGTTTGAACCATGAGAATTTCTTTGCTTTGATTTTATACTTTTTTATTTTAGAGGAAAAGAAAAATGCAATTCTGATTTTTAAAAATGAGTTAGGGTTAGGGGACTTAAGACCTCCGTTGAACTTGAAGACCGGCGATTACCGGAGTCCACGAGATTATAAAATGGAAGTTGAATGGTACCTCAGTCTGGCAACAGTGGGACTCAACTACACCTCCACTAATACAGCTTGTCACCCGTGGCCTGTTTCCTTATGTAACGAAGGAAACCTTCATTATGCTCATGTACTTACTATATGGAAAGTGCATCCATCCTAGAGCTAATTCACTGTTTTAAATTTACACAGCTACCTAGGGGACCTGGGGGTTTACAGAATCCGAGGCAAGCGCATCTCTTGACAACACAGGCAGGCAGTTCGAGGAGCACAGCTCCCAGTGCCAGGCCTGTGGATGGCACCTCTGCGTGCATGCAGTGACAGCTGAGGGGGTGGGAGGGGACAGGGTCAGATTATATTAAAGTTTCTCTACCTTTGTGTTTTGAAACCAGCAAAGCTGAATGGATTTTCTCCTTCTTTATATTGGACACTCTCACTTTTGAATTATGTTCTGTTATCTTTCTGTATTTCTTCCGCATGAAATCACTCTTCTATTTTTGCTTTTCCACCGTTTTTAAAAGTTCTGAATGTCTTTCAGCCTAGCCCTTGGTCTCTTAATCTTTTTCTTTCTCTCCAGAAAATGTCATTTCCATCTGTTTCCTTTGCGTTCTTTTGCATGTCTTCCTTCCTGGGCTAATAATTACTCCTTGCTCCTTCCCATTCCATTTTTACCACCCATTTGAGCGTCCCCCCGAAAGCCTGCTGTTCAGTTTTATCACGGCAGACAAGCGCTCTTTTCTGAAGATGCTCTGAATTGTCTGTCTTATTGTATTTGGTGGAGGCCTAGTAATTTTCAATAAAGCCCTTAATCCAAGTACTTCACTGAAAATTACCAGGCTTCTTTATGCAGGATGAGAGTCGAAAATAGAAGACCAGCTACAAGGAAAATTTAGTCAGAGCAAGGCAGTCAGTATTCGCCAACACTAAACCACCTCTGAAATCAAGAAACAGCCTGGCAGCGCTGGCAGAGGCGATACATAATTTATAGCCCATGTGATGGTTGAAGCTCTGTGACTATTTTCTGCTGGAGCTCTGTTTTCTTTTCCCTTAAAATAACCCCACTTGACAAAGTTCACACTTTGCCTTACACCAAAGTAAAAAAAAAAAAAAAAAAAAAAAAAAAAATCAGTCACCAGCCTCGTGGTTCTCTGTAGGAAATCAATACCTGATACGTTCTTTGCAGTCACTTCTGTCTTAGAACGAAGAAAGGAGTTTCATCAGAAAGGAAAGTTTTCTATTCATGGAACTTGAAGACATGAAACTTCTTGAAACCGGAGGTTCAGAAAGATGGGGAAAAGATTATCATCTCAAGAGCATGTGGCTTATATCCTCTAGTGCAAAGCAGCGGTGGAAAATAATGTGCCTGTGCCGCAAGTAAAGGAACAATTTCAAGAATACCATAAATTGGATTAAGGATTTCGAGTCAGAAAATAAAGTTGTCTGCTGATATAGGGCTTTTTCATCTGGGGCTGCATAGGCCTCATAAGCTTATAGCAGTTCTAAGAATGGAGACAAGCCACAGTGTTCAATCGCAAAGGTTAAAGCGATTCTTTCACCGAGGTAATCTAAATCTAGATCGTATTGAGTCTGTTTTCTCTCTGGCACTGAAATATTTTCCAGGGCATTCACGTTGGAAATACGAATTACCCACACTGTGTTCAGAGCCCTGTCCAATTAAAAGTAGATGAAAATCTCCTTGATGCAGAATGCTTTAAAACATGCTGAGAGGAATGGGTGTTAGATATTTACAGGAAATCTGATCGAAAACACAGCCATATAACCTCAGGGTGAGTCGGATAAGATATTTACTCAGGACTTATATTTCTTTTAAAAACAATTACTTTTGATATGTATCTAAAGTATCTCATCTGTCATTTAGGATAAAGACAGATTAAGCTTTTACCCAGGCGTGATTTAGAAGCCCTAACAATCTGGGCAGCTAAGCGAGTGTGTATTAGCTTGCAGAAAACTAGAGAAAAATCTGGTGAAAGAGACCTACAAGTAAAGGCCATGCTTTCTTTGAAATGGAAATAGGCCAAGGGTGGAAAGAAACATTAAATATAAGAGTAGTTCTCCCTCCTTAGGAACGTGAGCTTGGGCTCCTGCAAATGACATAAGAAAGAATGGAAGCAGCAGATCAGGACATTCAAAGTGAGAGGCAACTTTAAACGTTCCACAGGACGGAGGAGACGGAGTGGGAGTTTTGGGAAGGGAACAAGTCACAGAGCCTGGACCGTAGGCAGGACATCTCAGCCACCTTCTCCTCTCCCTGGACACTGCTCCTGTCTCTGAAGTCCTTTTCCACTCTGGGGTTATTTTTATTTTGTTTTTCAAAGTATTAAAATACAACTCTTATTCCAGAATAGCTTTTTTCTCATCAAAAATAGCAGATGGTTTCTCTTAAGTAGTAGCTATGACAAGAGTATTTTTAGAGCATTTAAGTAAAACAGTGTTCTTAAGTGTGTTGGGTGATTCAGTAATAGGTACAGCCCTCAGGGGGTCCTCCTCACAAGAAAAGGCAAAGACTCGCAGGCAGGCGGAGACTCAGTGCCAAGAGTGGTCCAGGTTTGCGACCTGGCAGCCCATGTCCCCAGTGTGAACCTGGAGTTAGGGGCCAGCCTCAAATCTTTTAAACCCCGTCCCAGGAGGAGGGTGCGGGGAGCAGATGGAAGCACTGTTACATGTCATCAAGAGTAAGGACTTTGGAAAAAGGCCAAGTGAGCTGAGTCTACCTCTTACCCGCTATGTGCCCTTGGGCAAGTCTGATCCCCAACTTCCTTATCTGCAAAATGGGTATAATGAAGATACCCACCGACAAGGTGACTGAAAGGCCTAAACACAAGAATGCAGGTGGCTGGACATAGAGTAAGTTGGAAAAAGCTAAAAGCTGTAAGCATCCTTGCTCTTGTGCCAATTGTCCTGCCCTCGTGGGAACAGTGACGCACCCCAGTGTGTCTCTAGCATCCCAGCAGGGAGCGGAGTCGAATTCACTGCAGGAATGTTAGCTCACCCCTCACATTAGAACTGCTGTCTCGTGGGGTGATGGCAGTTGAGACATGGGTGATTCATGGCTGGGAACACAGCACGCAGGGTGGTACAAAGCATTCCTGGTTTTAAGTCAATAACCTTCGGTTCTCTTTGCTAAACTTTGTCAAGCAGTCCCTGGGCTAAGGTCCAGAGGTTTTACAGACTGATAATGCTCAGCCCCTGTGCTCAAGGGGCTTTTAGTCCCTGAGGGAGAATGACAAAGGAGCATTTCAATTTCAGTATATTGCCAAAAGTTTTGAAATATAGAGATCTGGGGTTGTTGTGGGTGCACAAAGGAGAAGGGGGGCAACCAGGAAGGCTTCCTGGAGGAGGTAGTTCCTCCGAATTTTCCATGTTCTTCTCAAGCAAATCACTTTATTTTTCCCAAGGATAATAAGGGAAATTCAGGCCTACTATATATATATATATATTTGATATATATATATCAAATATTATTCTACATTTGTCAAGAGTTTATCAACATTTTAATAAATCAGTCACTTGATTTGGAAAGACACTTTCCAATTATTACCATAAAAAGCTGTCTTTTTTTTAAAATGATGGAAGGCTTTACATCCTCACGGTATTTGCACACATAAAGTTGAACTTTCTATGAGGTTTAATTTAGAGTTGAATATATCCTGGTCTTTCTGACAGTTGATGATTTTTGACAAAGTGTTTCTTAAAGTGGACGATTTGGGAAGGTAGCCAGGTCTGTCCCCTAGATGCTCTGTGAACGCTCCTCGCAGCCTCTCTTGGCCCTGCGGTTCCTTCCCCCTGGCTCCAAGGCTGCTCTGACAGATGGGCTTCGGCGGCCACAGCTGGCAGCCAGAGAATGAGGACAGGAGGGGTGAGGATGGGCCGGCAGACCGTCTGTCCTGGGCAGTGGCTGGCCTGATCGATGAGCCATGGTTGACCATTGAGCCAACCGACACCAGGTCGTGAACTGAAAGACAGGGTCCCCGGAACATGTTTGTGCTGTTCGGCATTTTTCCCCTAGCGTTTCAGTTAATCAAACGTATTTCTAAATTGTTTTACTATGAGTGATTGTGTTACTGTTTTACTTTGACTGCACGATTCAGGTTTGTGTGTCTCTCTCACTTTTTTCTCTATTTTAACTCACAGATGTGGGAGGAGGCCATTGCCCTGGGCAAGGAACTGGCTGAACAGTACGAAAACGAAATGTTTGATTACGAACAGCTCAGTGAATTGCTGGTAGGTCTTCATTTTTTTCCATTTATATGAACACAGGCAATCTCTGCATGTTTTTCTGGAATTTCTAACTCCATTTGAATGTTGGAATTCACCTCAGGTATTCTATGGCCTCAGCCATGATGCTCCATTTTGTCCAGGAAGATGGTTTTAGTTTATTTGCTGGTTGATTCTGGCCCATGAGTGTCCGTTTTTTATTCCCAAGTAAGTTCTTGTAATGAAACTCTAAGACTTCTATGGATGAATTGTACGAAAGCAGCTGCTGACCTTGTGTGTATAGTGCTTTTGACAGCCCAAGAGTCCATGAGAGTTTCCACTTCTTTAAAACTGTGACCCCTTCTACAAGAGGGGCGTGGACGGATAGTAGCCTGACGTGTCTTCTGGCACACGAGCTCTGTAGGTTTCTCATTACTGCCTGCACAACCGTGTCATTTCTGTATTCAGCAGATCACCTTAATGGTGTTGTAATGCTTGTCGTTAATTTAGAACAGAACAATTCTGTTCTTTTAGATTCTTCTTTAATGTATCCTAGGATCCGATCTATACCCTTTAACAATACTAAGGGCGAGCCATTTAATCAGAAGAAAAGCCATTTCTGTGGCACCTCTTTGGTTATTGAAAACATATGTAGGGCCGGCCCGGTGGCGCACTGGAGAGTGCGCCGCTTGGGAGTGTGGCGGCGCTCCCGCTGAGGGTTTGGATCCCATGTGGTGACCGGTTCCCGCTCACTGGCTGAGCGCGGTGCGGGCGCAACACCGAGGGTTGCGATCCCATTGCCGGTCCCCGGTACGGGCGCGACACCAAGGGTTGCGATCCCGTTACCGGTCAGTAAAAAGAGACAAAAAAGGAAAAAAAAAAAAAAAAGAATACATATGTAAATCATGACTGGTTGCTGAATTTAGAGGCTTGGAATCCCTTGCTGAATGGTGGAGGATGCATGAAAAGGGATGTGGAAATTACAGTGAGATTGAATTAGGTTTGTGCCTCCAGACCCTGCCCCACCTGCAAGAGTTGTCGAGCTTAAAGAGCACACAGGAAGATTCCAGAAGGATGGATGCTCACATATGCTACTCACACCTGAAATGCAATTTCTTTCTTCCCTCCAGAAAAAACAGGCTCAGTTTTATGAAAACATCGTCAAAGTGATAAGACCCAAGCCTGACTATTTTGCTGTTGGCTACTACGGACAAGGATTCCCCACATTCCTACGGGTAAATTTTGATTCTGCTTAATCTGAGCCTAGATTGCTTCCTCCTCAGAGAGACCCCTTCCCATCCTGTGGAAAGACTGGACTTTGCAACCACATGGCAAAGTCCTACTCTCCGTTCTCTACAGCTCTGCGTTTAGCTTGGGTACCAGAGAGAACTCATAATATTTTCTTTGCATATAACTTTTCCATCTGATTTTTCCTGAAAATAACTCCCCTTTAGAGATTTGTGTGTGTGTGTTTTTAAAATTGTGGTAAAATATACATAATAGAAAATTTACCATTTTAGCCATTTTTCAGTGTACAGTCCAGCATCATTATTCACACTGTTGTGCATCCTTCACCGCCATCCACCTCCAGAACTTTTCATCTTACAAACTCATAATATTTTCTTTGCATATAACTTTTCCATCTGATTTTTCCTGAAAATAACTCCCCTTTAGAGATTTGTGTGTGTGTGTGTTTAAAATTGTGGTAAAATATACATAATAGAAAATTTACCATTTTAGCCATTTTTCAGTGTACAGTCCAGCGTCATTATTCACACTGTTGTGCATCCTTCACCGCCATCCACCTCCAGAACTTTTCATCTTACACAGCTGGAACTCTGTCCCCACTAAACACAAATTTCCCATCCCCCTCCTCCCAGCTCCTGGCAACCACCATTCTCCTTCCTGTCTCTATGAATCTGACTACTCTAGGTGCCTTATAGAAGTGGAATCATACAGTATTTGTCCTTTTTTGTCTGGCTTATTTTACTTAGCATAATGTCTTTTGGGCTCATTCGTGGTGTAGCACAGGACAGAACTTCCTGAAAGTCTGAATACTGTTCCATTGTATGGATAGAGCACATTGTGTGTATCCATTTATCTGCTGATGGACATTTGGGTCGTTTCCACCTGTTGGCTATTGTGAATAATGCTGCTACACACGTGTATTTTCAATTACACGAGAAGTTGGAAATGCGCTTTCATGGCCATAGTGCTGGGCACTGAGTCGCGCGCCAGCCCTGAGACAGGTTCGTGCTGTTGGAGACGTGATTGAAGTGGTGATCTTGATCACCTGCCGGACGCCCACTTCCCCATATTCACATGCAGCCAGAGGACAATTATGTCAATAAGTGCTGCCTGGCCTACTAGTAGGATTGTTTAAAGTTTTTCAAAAACACATTCTTGGATGCTATTGGGCAGTGGGTCATGATTTCTTGTCATTTCTTATGATATTTTCTTGTGACGCATGGTTTTCTCTTATCCTGGGAAGCCATGCATGATTCCTCTGGCTTTAGGGTAGAAGCTCTGTGCCAGGAGCACAGCTATCTGGGGCAGTGGAAACCAGTTAGGAGACTTCTCTGGTCCCAGAGGTGTGCTTGTTTGGCCCCCGGGGTTTCTGATTCCACAGGAGTCAGAGTGTGCGACATCTCTTCATACAGAGCCCATAGGATGCGTATGTTCCCTTTACTGAGCATATGTCAGTCACTCTTTACATGAGTGGCCCACATAATTCTGGCCTGTTCACCCAGTGTCCTGCCTGGTGTCTGGGGCATCTGGCCCCGTCCTAGCCACTGCTGGTCAGTGTCTCTTGTTGCCTTCATTGTGCAGCTAAGACAGCAGCTGATCAGAAACCCAAATTCTGAAGAAAGTCTTCCCTTCCATTAAAGGATGTTCAGTGATAAGCTCTACATTAGGGAGGAATTGGAAATTAACTTTATTCTACATAAAAAACAAAGCAGAAGGCTAGAATGAACTTGGAGTTGAAGTCAATCAATGTCTTTAATTAGCATGTGTATTTGTACATACGCTCCAGTGTGTATGTCTCTAAGAAAGAGAGAGACCAACCCTAAACCATGGCAGACCGGTGCTGTGTTGGGGCATGTGGTCCTGTGGACAGAGAGCTGCCTGGGCTATATGGCCACTAACCACGATCTGTGCTGGGTGACTGTTTGGCATCCAGAGCAAGACAGCAGTCTGCCTTGCACACTCGAGTGCGTGCCTGCAGCGAAACCCTCGGCAGTCGCTGAGCCAGTAGCTGCTGGGCCGTGTTGGGAGCTCACATGCACTGCAGGCTCCATGGGGGATGGGGGGTGCTGGGTCATCTCCACCATCAAAAGGACAAAATGCAAAGTACAAATAAAAAGTGTAACGGGCTTGATTCCTATTGAACTGACTTTCCCACCACACCTGAGTGGTTTTGTGGGGCTGTAGTGACGTGTTTACTGCACTTCACAGACCACCTGGCAGGGGTCAACCTGGCAGTGGCAGCAGCGTTTACCAAAAAGTGGGCGGGATGTTTGTGTTGAGAGCACAGCCTCTGAGAGTCGACCGGCTGGCTCTTTTGCTTTGTTTTTCTCTAAAAATTGATCCCATTTTTTTTCATTTATATTAATATTTATAGTTCTTACAAGGAATAAATATCTTTGACTATATGTACATTTTCCCCTTGTTTTCCTGCTTGAAGGGACCACTTCAGAATGCAAGGTAATTGACGTTTCTAGAAAATGTTACTAGTGTTTTCATCTATAACTCACTAGTGTTTTTCTGTTAAGGTCTTTATATACACTTTTATTTTGTCTGTCTGTCTTCTGGTATAAACAACAATAAATGCATGCTAGTTTCATAGTAGCCTGTGATACATTAAAGCTTACTGAGTTTCTGAAGTGTGTGGCTTTGATATAGTCTTATAGGGTGCCCATGCAGTGTATTTATATTTCTGATTAAGACTGCAGATTAGGTTGGTTTCTGCCTGACATTATTTTTTTAGAGAAATAGAACACTTTCCTTTCCATAATGGTACATTAAGACATACCTAAGTACAAAGTGAAAAAACAATATTCAATTCTTAGAATGTTCCTTCGTTGGTGATTTATAAGAACACAGAATAAGTTGGGAGTAGGGAAGGGGATTGTCTTAGTTTGTTTGGGCTGCTGTAATAAAATACCTTGCACGGGATAATTTATAAACAAAAGAAATTTAGCATGCACCATTCTGGCAGCTAGGAAGTCCAGGATCAAGGAGCAAGCAGATTCCGTGTCTGGTTAGGTTCTGTTCCTCATAGGCGGCACCTTCCATGTGTCCTCACAGGGAAAGAGAGCTCTTTGGGCCCTCTTTTATAAGGGCACTAATCCTGTTCATGAAGGGGGAGCCCTCATGACCTAATCACCTCCCTGGGGTCCACTCCTAATACCGTCACCATGGGGGTGGGGTTTCAACATATGGATTTGGGGGGACACAAACATTCAGACCAGAACAAGGATAAATTGGTTGAGTACCACAAGATCTCTCTTTATGTTTTTAAAAATCCATTAATTAGACAAATTTTAACTTAACTTCAAGTTGAGTCTTTAGGAGAGAAATATAAGAATATGCAGCAAAATGCTATTTTCACTCATTGTCCGTCCGCCTGTCTCTCTCTTTGCCCCTCTCTGGCCTTGTCTAGGGATTACCTCAGATAAAGCAGGCTTCACCTGACTCAGGACCAGCCTGTCTGGAGACTCTTACCCAGTGTCCCCTGATCAAAACAGCATGTGCATCAATGCATCCAGGTTCCATTGTGAAAAGCGTTGCCCCCAGACTTCCATTTCTTGTGCCTCTGTGGCTTCTCCTGGTTGAAGTTTTCATTTAGGTTGACACAGCCCTAAGATGGGGCAGGATGGGTGGGGGGAGGCAGAAGGCTTCAAAACCCAGCAGTAGCATTACATTGTCTACCCATTGCTGCTTTTCTGTGACTCCGTTGACACTCAGAACATACTTTGTTGAATCCGTGAAGGAACGGAGACCAGAGAGAAATGGCCCCAACAAGACAACCTTGTGTAAGGAAGAATGCTCCCCTGCTTAGTCACCCCTAGGTCACCTAGCCCAGCTGTCCATAACAGCCCCCAGAGGGCTCTCCAACTTGTAATGTAGGGAGGTGACAAAGTGTCATTTGAGATGGACAAAACCCAGCCCTTAGAAGAAGAGCACTGTGTATTTTACCTTGTCATTCAATGATGAATGATGGTCTGGACAGTTCTGGGTGCAGCGAGGGAAGTCCTGCCCTCCGTCCGTCTCCAGCAGCTCACCACCAGGGAAGGCCCAGAGCCCAATACCTTTCTGCTTTGATCTGGATCCTTCTTCCTCTGGTTCTACCAATTTCTTGGCTATGCCTTACAGTCAGCTCCAGATGGCCATTCTCAGGCTCTGACCCCACCTTAGTCTCATGGTGTCTTAAACTCCTTAGAGCAGGATGAAAACTTCTTAATTAAGGCTTACCTGAAAAAAATACAGACATCGTTACCCACTTGCCCTGGCTGCCTTTAACCCTCTCTCTAGCCATTTTATGCCCACTATGGCATGAGGCTCCAATTGCTCAGTTGGGTCTTCGTAGTTTTTTAATTGGTTGTTACTGTTCAGACTGAAATGTATCACCAGATTTCAGTAATGTAGTGCTCAGTGCTTCTTAAACAGCATTAACTTACATGACTTAGGTCTGTGTGTTCTTGATTAATAAGACCAATGCAATTACAAGTAAAAAAATTACAAGTTGTTCTTAATGACATTTTTGACAATTTAATGACAATGACATTTTGTTTTTAAACTGCCCAGCATGTTTTGAAGATGAGTGCATTTGTGTGTGAACTTTTCCCAGCCCTCCCCCTGTGGTGTTATTTAATGAATGTCATTGTTTCTAGGGAAAAGTTTTCATTTACCGAGGGAAGGAGTATGAACGTCGAGAAGATTTTGAAGCTCGGCTATTAACTCAGTTTCCAAATGCCGAGAAAATGAAAACAACATCCCCTTTCTGTTTGATCCATGTTCTATTCTATTTGATCCATAATGAAAAATTAACCTCTTTGATGGCCTAATATTTCTCAGGATCCGCTTATTTTGTATCCTGATGTTGGGTGTTTTCTTTAACCTGTCATCATTTCTTTCACCTTTCATCAGCAAAAATGGGAAATAAACTAGGACTCTTTATTTACAAGTGATTGCTTTCACAAGCATACGTTTTTAAGGCTTGCAACATTTTTTCTCAGAGACAGGCATCCAGCAAGGGGAACTGTAGAGTATGCTCTGGTAGTTTCCTTTGATGTGGGCGTCTGCCTACATTTCAGTGTCGGGGGAGAAGTATCTCCCTGCACCTGCCCGAGCTACATGCACGAGACCCACCCCTGACCCAGGGAGGAAGGCAGCTGCTTACGTCCATGTCTGCCCTTCTTTGGGTGGTTGCAAAATCTGCATTTTATAGACCAGAACCTAAAGTGTTTAAAACCATTTAAAAAGTAATAACCACATAAAGTGAATACAAAACCTTTTAACCCTCTCCTTTGCATCACCTTTTTTCTGTTTTTGCCCATTTCACTCTTACTCAGCGTCTCTTCTCCCTTGAGGGCTGGCAGGGATGGGGAGGAGGCCAAAACTCAAGTTAATTTTTCCACCTGTCAACATTTCCCTTCCAAGGCTGGCTGGGAGAGGAAGCCAAGGCTATCACTTCAGGCCAAGGTTGGGGATATAGTGACATATTCGGAGGCCAGACCCTATGTCTAAAAGCAAATCAGATGTTTTCTGGGTTAAATGTCTAATGATCTGTCTGTCTCTGTGCAGTTTTTACAGGGTGAACGAGGTCCAGCGATTTGAATATTCTCGGCCAATCCGGAAGGGAGAGAAAAACCCAGACAATGAATTTGCGGTAAAAACAACAACAGCAGCAAAAACCAACACCACCAAAACAAAAAGCAAACAGACAAAAACACCTCATTCCACCACCTACAAAACTGCCTGTTGGGAAGTGTGGTCTGAAAGGCTACCCCCAAGGCAGTGTTACTGTCCTTGTACATTATGTGCAGAAATCCCAATCTGGTACCTCCTCCAAACTAGTAGAACTACTGACATTTCACAGATGCTATCACTGAGGTCCTTAAGGTCTGTGATCGAGGGTTGTTGCTGTTTGAGTGCTGGTGCATGCATCCTTCCCTCCTGCCTGTACGGCAGCTGGTCTTCCAGTGAGCCCCAGGTGCTGCATCTGGTGTTGGTATCTCTAGTTACAAATAGTGTGCTGACTGCTGACATGGCTTTCTGCAGGTGACATGGCAGTCAGGAGACAAGCTGGATCTAGATCCAGCTGTTCACTCACCATCCAGGGCCAGTGCCTGAACTTCACTGTGGCACAGCGCACTGCAGCAGGGCTCCTACCTTGGCACTAGTGACGTCACTACTGGGTAGTTCTCTGTGTTGGGGGCTGTCCTGAGCATTGTAGGATGTTTAGGGACTGTCCTGACCTCTAGATGCCAGTAGATGCGAGTGCCACCTTCCCAGTTGGGCCAACCAATCAAAAGTTTCCAGACATGGATAATTGTCCCTTATTGCGAATCACTGCATTAGAGTCATGGAAATACTAACACAGATCCTTATAGCCTTTAAAAAGACTGTCCTGACCTCTAGATGCCAGTAGATGCGAGTGCCACCTTCCCAGTTGGGCCAACCAATCAAAAGTTTCCAGACATGGATAATTGTCCCTTGTTGCGAATCACTGCATTAGAGTCATGGAAATACTAACACAGATCCTTATAGCCTTTAAAAAGTATACAAGGATAGTTCAAAAAGTTCTTGGAAAAATAGAATTCAAATATAATACGAGTCTTTCTATTCGTTTCCTTCTACTTTTTGAAGTACGCTGTACATAAAACCAGGTTAATGGATTCCATTTTCAAAAGGCATCAAGTAAACCACAGTGTTTTGTGTTAACGTTTCTCCATCTTGCCTGGATAAACCTCCAGAAATCCCTGTATAGGTTCCTATTGCACAAAGGCATGAGCCCTAGGGACCCAGAGGGGGACCATCACTGCTGGGAATGGCTTCCTCTGTCTGCACTCTGGAGGCATCTGGAGTGCAGGAGGTGACAAATGAATTAGCACCCTTCTTGCAACCCAAAAGGAAGCTCTGGGCACTTGCAGCCGGGCACCTTAAATCAAGAGCGGTGACCACCCACTCTCCTGCAAACCCCTCAGGTGTCCTCCCTCCATCCTCTCATCCTCAGGGCAGTCCCTGTGGGTCTCCTGTCACAGCTCCTGAGAGCCTGCTTGGGAAGTCCCTCTAGCCCTGAGGCCTGATTGTGTGTCAACTTGGAGCTTGAGGGAGCTTGGAGTCAGGTGAATTCTAAAGTATTCTGCAGGTGTAACACACTGGTTGCTTGAAAACAAAGACCCTGTTTCTTGGTGAATGCCAGCCTCCTGGACCTGCTTGGTCATGGGTCACTGCAGTGTTGTCTGTAGTAGCGAGGGAGGACTCAGCCCAGGCACATCCACCTGCACACCCACGTGAAGCACAGTGGTCCTGAGCAATCTCTGTCTATTGCAGTCATTGGAAGCAGTGATGTTATTATTTATATAGTGTCTCTCGACTGCAAGATTTAGAGGCAGTTCTTGAATTTTCCTTGCACCTCTCCCTTCTGGCAAGTATGTATATTCTTATACTGTAAAGAAATAGACACAAGGAGGTCAAGCGACTTGCCAAAGGGTGCACAGCTCAGGGTGACCGAGACTCCTGACATTTTGAGCTGTGCTAAGCCTCGGAGGCTGTGCTTCTTCTAAATGGCCCCAGAATCCCCTAATGGCCCCGTTTACATCCTCACATGTGGATGAAGTGTTCAGAAGCCACAGGATTTGGTCCTTGACACACTTGACAAAGCCTCAGGCTTCCGGCTAAGCAGGGGGTTTGTATTATTGGGAAGCCTGGCTCTGCGTCTCGTGCAGGGAGCCTGGCTCCAAGGGCAGGGGGCTGGAGAAGCTGCCCCGCCAGGCCCAGAACTAAGTGTGGCAGCTCAGCACCTCCAAACCCGGCAAGGGGTGAAACTCTGGGAAGCAAGGAAGGCCAGCCGAGGAGGGGGGAGACTGGGACAGGGCTTTGAGTTAGCGGGAGCCGGCTGTAAGGATGCAAATTAGAGGCCCCTTGCAGAGTGGATTGGTGTGAGAGAAAGCCCTGGAGGTGTGGGCTAGAGATGGCCAAAAGGGCACACCTGCTTGCATTTCCAGGGCTAGTGTCTGAGGGAGCTATCGCCAGGTGCAAAAGGATCATCGGCCAGGGAGGCAGGAGCCTTGCCCCGTGTCCCCGAGGCCTCTGCCAGCCCTTCCTTTCTTCCACTAGAATCTAAGAGGTTTGGGATAAATGCTTTCTAAGATCCAGGCCAGTTTCCTGGAAATATGACATTCCATTATCCCATCTATTTCTATCTACATTACTATTGACAGACTCACAGCGCTCGGTGATCCTGCTTTACAGGGAGATCTAGAATAGCAGAAGGTTGTTGCAAAGCTAGATGTGCCCAAGTGGGAGGTGGGACAAAGGATTTGCAGTTTGCCCCTACAATGGAGTTCGTGACCTTTATGGAGGCTTAGAATTGTATTTATTGTCCTGAAACAGTTTCCTGCTGTATGTAATGTACTAATGTACAAAGAATACAGATTGTAAAATGGTGTTTTTATTTAAAATATACATATACACTTTTTAATACTTAATAAGAAGTCTTGAACAATAGGTACTAAAATGTTTAAGTTTTTATCTCTAGGTAGCAGGTGACTTCTCTCCCTATCTTCTATTTTCCCTATCTTATGTTCTCATGTGAACATATTAGTTATCTTAAAAAAAATTTAAAGCTTAAGATATTGATTATATTAGAATGTGAGAGATCACTTTCATTAAATCCAGTCTTAATGCATTTGCTTGAGTTTATTTTGAACACTAAGTTAGGCCAGCATAAAACTCACTTGGAGCCTTTCCAAAAATCCGTTTGCTGAAGAGGGAAGCCGCCTCATTTTGAGGTAGATATATATATATATATCTTCACTGCTCACCTATTGTATTTTCGTTGCCAAATAGTAGGGAGGTGGGTAAGCTTGTCTAGGACAGGAACACTTTGATGTGACTTGTAAGGTGCTACCTCCAGGCACACCTGCCCTACACTGAGCACAGGTGGACCCCCATCCTGTAGGACTTGATGCTATGGGGCTGACACCCCACATAGCTGCCTGCGGTCGCTGCCACCCCACCCTGCTAGGAGATCCTGGGGCCCTTTGCCTGCCCCTCCCTCTGGGCACATTTCACTCTGTGCTCTGGGAGCTCCCACTCTGTGTCCCGTAGCACATGGCGTTGTAAGTCCCTGCTAGGGCAGAACTATCCACCTGCTGACATCCTGCTAATAAGTGTTGTGTGTCTGTTCCCTTTGCAGAATATGTGGATTGAGAGAACCATATACACAACTGCATATAAATTACCTGGAATTTTAAGGTGGTTTGAGGTCAAATCTGTTTTCATGGTAAGGAATCGTCCGTTCCCCTCCTTCTTGATATGGTCTGACACACCGTCTTCACCCGAGCATGTCACCTGGTCACTGTGGCCCGTGTGCACACAGCAGATGCTGCAGTTCATGTAACCACCCTCCCTGTTCCTCAGTGTCAGCATCTCCTCGCCCACCAGTATTTCAGTGGGAATGCTTTGTGACCACACACCTCTAGCGTATAAGAAAACCAGAACTAAGATTTCATTTCTTCTTACAAAACATTTAAGTTCAGCCACAGCTGTGCTCTTTTGACAGTTCTTTCTTTTTAACTAAATGAAAAGTTTAAGACAAGTTCCAGTTGACATAAACTTTTTAGATCTTTTTTCCGGATGGTTTTATTACCATTTACATGACAAATAAATTAATTAATAGTACTTGCTCATTTCAAGCAAAAATAGCCTGAGAATATACCCCTCCCCGGCACTTTAATAATGATTCCCATCTCTCAGCAAAGCTAAACTTTCCTTTGCTGTGGGAACATTTTATTTACATGAAACTCACATTTAAGGTGAGCTATCAGACAGTTTCATCTGCACAAAACACATTTATGGTGAGATATCCGACAGTTTCATTTACATGAACCAGAGTCTGGCAGCAGATTTACTGACCATATTGAAATGTCAGGGCCGTGGCAATTGCCAGTACAGAAAGATCTGATTGAAATATGTACGTTTTTGTTCCTGTGTCTCGGTGCCTTTTGTTTGTACCTGGCAGGATCTCACCTAGAGGTGTGGTGCTTGTAATTTAGTTTACCAGTCCCCCTGAAACACCTGATGATTTGGCTCTAGGACGTGGCTGGAACCCCTCTCCCAGCCATGTGTCCACTCTCTTCTGTTCATGCCTGCGTGAGCTCTGGGCAGCTCCGGGAGCCCCGTGATCTGCCAGACTTCCCCACCCCGCACAGCTACCTGCAGTCATTCACACCCCATCCTGCTCTGAGCTCCTGAGGCCCTTTGCCTGCCCCTCACTGTGGGCACACTTCACTTTCTGCCCTGGGAGCTCCCGTTCTGTGCCCCGTAGCGCCAGGCAGTGGCTGGTGGACGGAAGGCTGTCAGGAGTTACTTGTCAGGTGGCAAACGTGCAGCCCCTTTGCTGGGGCCATTGGGGCTGGAGATGGATGTGTGAGAGATGACAGAAAAGCAAGCCCTTCCTAAATAGGCAGTAATCCTCATAATGAGCCTCTGCCATAAGCCCCTGTAATCAGGGATTCTGGGAGCCAGCCGGCTTAATAGCTTGGAGGTAGAGAGGGGGCGTCCTGACCTTGCATGAGGATGTGCGTCACCCTCGGGCTGCTTTTTAACAGACTAAGAGGCTGGAAGCCCAATAATCCCCTTGACCCCTGCTTGTGCCTCCTGGGACCAACCACCATGGGGTATCTGTGGGGACAGCAGCTAACCTGGTTTGGTTTAGGACACGATTGTTTCTTGTGGCAAATGGGATCAGCAACCTGGAGTCTGCAGTTGGTCAAAGTGGAATAAGGCCCTGCAGTGTCCATGTGGTGAAGTCCTGCTCCTGGATGGTACCTCCAGGGCCTGGGAAGCATGGTATGGGGGGAGGGCAGCATTCCAGGGTTGGGCATTTCCCAGAGCTGTCTGTTCTTGGTTCCTCTCTGCTCCCCCGGCTCCATCTCTCAGATAGTCCCCCGAGGCTGTAGCGAGAGGAAAGCAGGAGACCCCTGTGGGCCGCATGCAGAGGACACCCCAGGACTCATGCACATGGCAGGGCCCACCACATCTCCTTTGGGAGGATTGAAATTAGGGTTGAGGTCATCCCGGACGTGGTCCCCATGGCCTAGCCTGGTCGGGAGGCCTGGTGGGAGGTGTGGTCCCTGCTTTAGACTTGGCCATGTTCTCCTTGCACTTCTGAACCAGAGGAGCACTGTGTTGGGATTTGGCAAGGACCTGAAGTCCCCCAGAGAAGGAGGACAGGGGTGCAAGAGAGGTGTGCCAGGGAAGCTGAGGGGGACAGGCAGTTGGTCCCCCTGCCTCCTGCACTGAAGGGCCCACTGATCAGTGTCAGATTTGCCAATGAGGTTTTTGAGGCTGGGCTGCAAGGGGTGATGAGCAGCCCCTCTGTCCCCAGCCCTGGGGTAAAGGGTAAGTGGAGGCCATGGCAGGGCCCCTCTTGCAACTTCCCTGGTCAGACAGGTACAGCAGGTTTCACACAGAGCCCAGGCCTTCTCCTAGCTTCCTCATAATTCGCTAAAATCTTCACCGGCTATAAAACCAGTGGAGAACAAGCCTCCTTTATGAAGCAGACAGTTTGTGTCCAGACACCACTCCAGGCTGTGTGTGTTCCTGGATGGCCACACGTGCTCACATATGCACACGTGCACACGCACACCCCAGAGATGAGCAGCTTTTGCTGTTATGGAATTTTCATGTGAGTGCTCCGTCTCTGGAAGCAAGAGATGATAATAAAATGCCAAGCTCCTCTTGGTTGGGCTGTAAGTGATCATGTCCAAAAACTGCTGGGAAGGCGTGTGGAGAAGCAGGACACCTGCCCCACCTTGACATGTTGCTCCTCTGGCAAGGCCCAGAGCTGGCGCCAATGGTGGGCTGACGTGTTGTCTCCCTTCACTGCAGGTGGAGATCAGCCCCCTGGAGAATGCCATTGAGACCATGCAGCTGACAAACGACAAGATCAACAGCATGGTGCAGCAGCACCTGGATGACCCCAGCCTCCCCATCAACCCGCTCTCCATGCTCCTGAATGGCATCGTGGACCCTGCCGTCATGGGAGGCTTCGCAAATTATGAAAAGGCACGTGGCATGCCAGTTTTCTCTTTACTCCCCTGCCCTGGGACAGACTGGAAATTCCAAACACTGTCCCCAAAGCCCAGAACTATCCTGGTCTCATTGGGCAATCTCAGCAGTGATGAGCCACAGCCAGGCAGGAGGGGCCTCTGCAGGCTGGAGGGTCACGGTCTGAGCCCAGGCATGGCTCCCCTGGGGTCCTCAGACAGCTTGACCCACCCAGCTTGGGCTAGTGGAGCTCTGGAGGGTGACCCTCAGGTGGCTTTCAAGAGGCCTGGGATCATTAAAGCTGTAAGATACAGGTTTAGAGAAAAACAAAAGCGTCAGAATATTTAGGCTAGGGAGGCAGCGCTGGTCCGGTGGAGGGCCCTGGACAGCTGGTCTCCTGGGTGATAGCTCAGTGGGAATGGGTGGGAGCTCCAGGATGTGGAGGGTAGTCTAGACGGATCTGCACATTCCAGCTTACCACCTGCATTTGCAAATGAGGTTTTACTGGAACATGGCCATACCCATTCATTTACTTATGGCCTGTGGAGACCCCTATGGTCCACAAAACCTAAAATGTTTACCCTCTGGCCCTTCACAGAAAAAGTTTGTTGACCCCTGATCTAGACAAAGTAAAAACTGAGACAGGTCTGGAGAGCGGGCTGCAAAGGTGTGGTTAATTGCCCTTGGACAAAAAGGTAGCTCTGCCACCTTCAGGTTTGGGTCAGGCCTGGAGCAGGTGCCAGGTTGGGTCACGGGCATGCAGTGGGGAGGGAGGGCTGTCATCGCTGCCACCCACCAGGACCAAGCAATCCAGGTGAGCCAAGCCTTTGCTGGACTCCAGGCACTGGGAAGCCACTGTGAACACCCTCCTTGGCTGCCCGTTAGCTCCACTGAGTTTGACTGTATCGGATATTTTGCCCTGGATCCGGGGAAGGTTCAACCCAGAGTCTGGATGAGCTTCGCGAGGGCAGGGGTGTGGGTCTGTTTTATGCACAGCTCAACCCCACAGCCTGGGGTGCAGTAGGTGTGCAAAACTCTGTGTGAGATGAGCAGGCGTACTGAGTGGCTCTCCATGTCTCCACCAGGCCTTCTTTACTGACCGGTACCTGCAGGAGCACCCTGAGGCCCACGAAAAGATCGAGAAACTCAAGGACCTGATTGCCTGGCAGGTAGAGTGTCCCATGATAGCCTTGCATGGCTGGGGGGGATGGGGGAGACGGGGTCTAGGCCCATGTCTGCCTGGGTCACCTCAGCACACATGCGCAGCCAGCATGGAGGCCCAGGACGGTCATCAGAATGCACCTGACCATGTGCTCCTCTGTGTAAAACCATCCACTGCCACCACGATTAATCCAACTCCTGGGTGCAGTCATGGATTGAACACCCAGAGAATTGTCTTTTGCAAATGAACAAGGTCTCTTTCTTCCCCTTGGCCAATTATACCAGCTGCTGGAAATGTTTCTCTGCCTGGCATTGATGGAACACAACACCACAGCAAGCTCAGAGCCATGAAATCTTAGCTCTGTCGTGTCACAGGAAGGGTGTTCGGCCTTGGTAGGTCGGAGCCACAGAGCAACTCTTGTGCTCTGGAATCAGGCTCTGGAGTGGCGTGTGTCCTCATTTGTGTTTTTCCAGCTGTAATTCTGCATCTTAGTTTGCTTTTCTGCTCATGCTCTAGAGGCCCCCGAGTCTTTCTTGAAAGGGAAGGTAACTCTGGAGGGTGGCCTTTGATCAGCTTCCAGTTACTTGCTGATGAGTCTGGGAGCCTTCCTGAGCTTGACGGTGCAGGGAACAGCCAGACCCGGTCCTCCTGGGTGCTCGGCTGCACTTACTCTGCCACTTTGGGCAACTGTCTTCTTTAGGCCTCATTTTCTCCTGTGGGAGCTGAGGAGGGTGCTGTATGCAAGATCTCCTCCAGGTCTAATGTGCACGCCCCAGGCTGAGTAAAGGGTGTAGAGAGAGTTGGGGCAAGGGCCTGCCTGAGCTTGGGCTGGCATTTTCCCCCAGGCCGCTTTGCTGAGCTGGAGCCCCAGGCTCCCAGATGGGGCCTGGAGATCTGTGCGGCTTCTCTGTGCCCAGTCAGCACAGGGCAAGGCTGCTCCTCTGTGGGGATTTTATTCTGGCCATCACCACGGAGCCTCACCATAGTGGCTTCTCTGTCATCAGGACATTGTCCACTGAGACCTCTTAGGGTGGCGAGGCTGAGCTTCGGTTTTAAGACATAAGTTCTCCTAATTTGTGTTTAGATGCACAAGACAGAATGGATTTTTATAACTCTAAGTACTTCTATATTTATACACGAACATAACATCTATTATATATAATTATGATAAAATATACATAAAATTTATTATCTTAACCATTTTTAAGTGTACAGTTCGGTGGCATTAAGCACATTCACACTGTTGTGAAACCATCACCACCATCCGTCTCCAGAACTTTTTGATCCTGCAAAACTGAAACTGTCCTCATTAAACACTAACGCTCCATCCCCCTCGCCCCTCCCCAGCCCCTGGCGACCACCTTTCTACTTCCTGTCTCTATGAATTTGCCTACTCTGGGTACCATCCAAATATTGTATCAATCCCACAGTATTTGTCTGTCTGTGGCTGGCTTATTTCACTTAGCATAATGTGTTCCAGGTTCATCCATGTTGTAACATGTGTCAGAAAACCACCTTTCTACTTTCTGTCTCTATGCATTTGCCTACTCTGGGTACCATCCAAATATTGTATCAATCCCACAGTATTTGTCTGTCTGTGTCTGGCTTATTTCACTTAGCATAATGTGTTCCAGGTTCATCCATGTTGTAACATGTGTCAGAATTTCATTTCTTTTAAGACCTAATAATATTCCATTATATGAAGAGACCACATTTTGTTTATTCATTTATCTGTTGATGAATATTTGGGTTTTTCCACTTTTTGGCTATTGTGACTAATGTTGCTAATGAACATGGTTGTTTAAATATCTGCTCAAGTCCTTGCTTTCAATATTTTGGCTATATACCCAAAAGTAGAATTGATGAATCATATGGTATTCTGTTTAATTTTTTGAGGGACTGCCAGAGTTTTCTACAGTGGCTGTACCATTTTACATTCCCACCAGCTGTGATGCGTGATTCCAATTTCTCCACATCCTCACCAAGACTTGTTATTTTCTGGGGTTTTTTCTGTAATAGCCATTCTAATGGCTATAACGTTTATATATAAAAACTTAACAGATTTGCGTGC